GTTAATCCTTTATGTGGAGCAACTCACATGAAGATGTGAATCTGCATCTTCAAATGTTCTGGTTGTATACAAACTTACTTACAAAAACGTTGCTGTTCAACAGCTTTTCTGCTGTGTTTGCAGTCATTATAGGAAGTACCACAATAATTATACACCTTAACTTCTACTTGCGTACTGAAATGCAGAAGTGGAATTGGGATGTGATGATGCAGTAATGTAGACTTTGGCTGAAATTGTATTTACTTGTTAAAACCACAGTATTAGGTAAACCCCGAAGATACTAATCCTTAGTCTAATACTAAACATGTAGGTTGAGCTAATTAGTATCTTGTCTTCTCATGTGTTACTGTTGGCAAGCAGTGTAAGGATGGTATCCTGGCCTTTGGAAACATGTAACCAATGCGTCAAAGRGATGTAGGGGGTATAATCATACCAGTGATAAAGAGCTGCTGCCTGTAATCATGTGGTCCCTCATAGTTTCCAGAAAGCGTTTTAGTAGAGAATAGYATTATTGTTACATGGATGGTAGGCCAGTGATGTGGAGTTTGAACTGCCCTTTCARTTCCGACCTGGTGGTAACTTCAGCTGATCGGCAGCTTTCTTGGTCTCTGTCTTAATTCTGGTAATGACAGCATTTGGTAGATCTCCATCCTGATTCAGTGCTGTTTACACAAGAGCTACTTTGGTACTCTTGTTCCAAGACTGCTTTAGCTGAAGGTGTCTTCTTGTTACAGCTTTAACAGATCAGATGGCTGATGTGCTGAAAAGAGGGAGGTGGTATTCTTGGTCCCATGTTCCTTTCCCCTTTTTCCCCTTTATTCTTCCTTTACACAGTGGTGTGATGTTCAGTGGRTATGCATGTGCAGGGAAAGCTTGTTAAACCAGTAAAAAGTGGTTTTGTTTATAAATTGTTTTAACAGGTTAAGTTAGGCTGACTTCACTGGGRTGGGAAGAAAGGTGGAGAAAGCTGTTCAGTTGTATGTAACTACAGACGAAGCCATGAGACTAGTGAAAGGTCTGGAGGAGTGGCTGAAGGCATTTGGCTTGTTTAGCCTGGAGAAGAGGAGACTGAGGGGAAACCTCATTGTGGTTACAACTTCCTCATGAGGGGAAGAGGAGAAGCAGGCACTGATCTCTGCTCTGTGGTGACAGGAAATGAGGGAGTGGCCTGAAGCTGTGTCASAGGAGGTTTAGGTTGGATATAGGAAAAAGGTTCTTCATGCAGGGGCATTGGAACAGGGTCTCCAGGGCAGTGGTCACAACACCAAGCCTGACAGAACTCAAGAAGGATTTGGACAACTCTCTCAGGCACATGGGGTGATTTTTGGGGCTGTCCTGTGCAGGGCAAGGAGCTAGACTTCAGTATTCCTTGTGGGTCCCTTCTGACTCCAGTATATCTATGATTCTGTAAGCTGCATATTTTATTACTGTGTTCTGYCTCTTGGTTTTTTGCTTTTTACACTTCAATGCCCAACTGTTATTATAAAACTCCAAACAATTAACTTTAAATTGTTTAGAAAGCCTAAGAAAGTGTCTTCCAGGTAACTTGTTTTCTGGAAATTGACTCAGGAATTACTTAATTGTTCCATACATTATAAGTGAACTATARATGTGCACATCAGTACATAATTTATACATTTTCAGATAATATTTATTGACATAATCTAATTTTCCATTGGATCTTATTCCTAATGACTCAGGTATCTTCATTTTAGTTGATTTAGTGCTTCAAAAAGGATAGTAGTAGAATAGTTCCTTCTGTACATGTTTGAACACATCTGTGGGRAGGATTAAGACTAGTAATTCTGCTTTTTTTATTCTTTCAGARAAGAGGCATCAGTTGATTGATGGGACTGTTGGCTGTTTTCTTAACTTGTAAGATAAACAAACGGCTTAAGGAAAAGATTAAAGATAGTGTTTTCATGTGCATATCATTTGGACATGTAAAAGGTGTGAAAAACAGATTATTGTACTTGTTTAGGACTTGAGTCTTSGTTTGCATAATCCCTGAGATTCATTGAGTGGCTCAGCAGTGTTAACACAGCAGGACCAATTCTGTGACAATATGCTGTGGTTTTGCCATTAGAGCTGCTGTGTATGTAGCACTGTTAATTTATTCCATCTTCATGAGATAATTTTCATCTAGAGTTTGGGTACCCTCACCCTTTTCCTGAAAGCTACAGATGAAACATCATGTTTGGATTCAAGGTTGGTTTTGATGCATTGAAMTTYCAGTATTTACARTGCTGGTCATGTAATGCACCTCAGTGTGTCCCTTAGCCTCTGAATGCTGTGGAAKAAAGTCTTTGAAGGATTGCTTTCCTAGCCTGTTGTGGCTCAGCAGGAGTTCTTGTCTAAGCATCTTAGTTGTGTAGCCTTTGCTGTAAGCCCTTAGCTCTCTGAATAACTTGCTTCTGTGCCTGCCATGTGCTGTGGAGCAACATGGGAAGTGGGTATTGTATTCCAGCCAGTTCGTGCCTGCTTAGAGTGGAAAATGTGCAGTCGCTTGTAGGGAGGTCAAGCAGAATAAGCAGAACAAAATGCTGGATAATAGGTAGGACAAAAGGCTGGGCTGATAGATAATGWTAATAGTGAATTTTGTGGTATTGGCTGGGGAAGAAAAACGCCAACARATTTCCACAGTAGCTTAGCCATGTAATCCAAGGACTTCAGAATGAYTGTGTGGTTGTTCACACTTCACAACAGTGATTTTGAGTTTCTCGTAGACTTTTTAAAGCTATCTGTGTAACTGCAAAGGCTGAAAGCTTCAACTCCTTAAAATGAAAATGTAAGTTTGTTACCCATTGTGTTTAGAAGTCTGATAAAATTCATAGTTGGCTAATAACTGCCTGTTACTTTGTGTTATACCTCTACTGACCATACATATTCCACAAGTGTTAGGAAACAAAAAAAAAWAACTTCYSTTATTTTAAAACTGTAGTAGAAACACACTGAATGTATTAATCATGAATCTTCAGTCCATAAGTTGCATTTACAGTCAACCATATTACATTTCAATTTTTACTTGAAGAGAGAAGTGATGCAAAGACTCTTGCCTGTGCAAATGAAATTCTTGTAATTATTAACTTCTGTTTCACATGCTGTCATTTGCTATTCCACAGAGRTTTTAACTGCAATTTATTCTGGTGGGTACTCTTTCATTACTGCATTTCAACCTCTGCCTCCTGGGAAAAGGAGGGTTGTCTAGAAACACACAGAGTTTGATTGCTGCCAAGTTTTCTATGAGTATTCTTGTGATGCTCTGCCTTTCAGAGTATGATGTTTGTCATTTACAAAAAAAAATTTAGAAAATATCCTCTGCTGTGAGTGTAGATAGGAATTTTCAGCTGGTTCTTGTAGCTGGTGGAAGCTCCATTTCYTTTTAAAATGAAGTATTACTGCAGTGGACAGACATGAATTGTGTTTATACAATGTAAGTTTATTGTGGCATTTCTTGAGTCATAGCAAGATAATTCACATRTCTCACTGTTCTTTAAACTTGTCTTATTTATCTTGAAATGAAGTGTGTGATGTGTCAGGTGTTATGATGTATCCAGGTGTTCTGGATACTGGAATATATGAGATGGGACAGAGAGGGACTCTTTCTGTGAGTAGGTGTGGTGTTCACTGAATGTTGATGGCAGCTGAGAGCTGTCCACATACAAAACCAACACATCATGGACTGAACTTAACTCCTGCTTTTTTCACCCCTAAAGCTTTTACCAAAAGTTGGGGGTTTTGCCCCAAACTTGACACTTCTCTTTGAATATACATATTCTGTTTTCTTGCCTAGGAAAACTGAGAGACTTTCAGATGAAAGCTATTGGAAACTGTTAGAATTTTAGTGCCTAGATATACATGTGCATTTGCTGCTCTGTTGTGCTGCTGTAGACTGCTCCTGGAAGTTGAGCTAACAGATGAAAAGGTGACTGGAATACTTGTGCCACATGCCACCCACAGTTGCACAGAGGTTGAGATAAGCATGATTTAAACTTGGGACTTTGGGTAGCTAATGTATTAATGAACATCAACTGCTGGTATGTGACTTTCATTCCTTTTTGAACACAGCACTGSATTCCCTGCAGTTAAGAATTGTGCTGAGCTGTATTGTTGGAAAGGCTTTTGAAGCTTAGCAGTGATAGATGTGTAACAGGGACTGTGTCATGCACCACCTCATGCAAAGTTTTTGTGGATCTTTACTTAGATCTCAACTGCCTTTTGGTTACTGCTGTGATCATGAACCACAAGCAAAAAAAGTATTTGTTGACTCAGACTGGATTTGCCTTCTAGTAGTTTTTGGGTATTGAAGTTCAAATAGCATCTTTTTTTTGTTGAATACAAGAATCCCGAAATGTTAATAGGTGGGGAGGGGCTTTTGTTTGTTTTGTTTTTGTCACGCATCATGTTAATATGAATATAATAGGTGCTTTACAAAAATCTTAAGTACATGCTTATTAGAATCCTGAAAAGGACTCTTTAAATTCTGTTTAATTCTTGTTCAATTTCACAAAAATTGCTTCTGTCATCTTGGATTTGTAGTGATGTAAAGACAACAGGGTTTGAACCCTATTAATAGAGGAGTGTTTTTKGACAATTAGTTTTAGTTTTCTAGCCTGTTACTTCTAGCATGTTGGAWATAAGACATCTATATTTTGTGATAACTTCAGACTTCCCTGCAAACTGTTCAAAACTTCACTGGGAGTAAATACATAACAGTTCCATTTTGGGGTCACACTAATTAAAGTTATGCCTACATGGTGTCRCAATGGTACTGAGTAAAGACCAGAACTAGCACATTCCAGTGCAATGCCATATAGACATACCTGTGATACGTTAAGTGTTTTAGTATTACTATTTCTGACATGATTATTTCCACCTTTGTGTTTAGGCTGTTSTCTCTCTTGACTGCTAAAATGCATTATGGTAGCTTTTCTGCACAAGCAGTTTGGGAAGGACGAAAAGTTGTGACAGCCTAAAAGATTGTGGATTTTTTCTTATAGAAAATGCCAGAAGCCTCAGAAGACCACAATCATTGGAAGGCCTGTTGACTTCCGTTTTCTGGTAATCTGGAACATCATCCATCTGGCATGGCGCAGGGCAGCCAACAGCTTGACGTGCAGGTACTCCATGATCTCCGGCAGCGTTTCCCTGAGATACCTGAAGGGGTGGTATCTCAGTGCATGCTTCAGGTATGGTAAAGAGTCTGTGTATTTTATTTTAGTATGAAATATGAGTTCAGTATGAAAACTCTTTCTGGTAGTACCTGTGGAGCATAGATTTTCATTCTCCTGGTTTTATTTTAAAAGGTTGGAAGACTACTGTTTGTATTTCTTGTCTTGTGGGTACACAAATTTTGTCATTCTTCACTTAAGTTTGTGGGGATTTTTGCACTGATGTTTTTTTGTTGTCTGTGTGACCTGTGACTGTGTGCATATGGGGAGTAAGGAAAGTGGCTAATGGAATGTTAATTGATCATGTTTATATAGATAACATACATAGGTATGTTATCCATATACTGTTACTCCATATACTGGAGTAAACAGTCACTCATCCTGCTATGATAAAGGGCTGGACTTAGCTAGGAATCTGACAGTTTTCCCTCTTCATGGCATCTTTTTTCCCRTGGTTCCCCAGAGGTTTAGTTTTACTTCTCTGTTTCCAGATCAGGTGATGGTTCTTCCCCTCATACTCCCTTTCCATTTAGTCCTTCCACTTTCATTTAAAATCAGAAATTRAAAGTGATAATTAGTTACCACACAGAATAAGAAGTGGTCATCTGGGAATACCTTCAGTTAATGGGAAGATTCAGGAATGGAATAGAAACATGCAAGATCTGGTTTGGCCTTGTGTGGCCATGGCAGAAGTTGGAAGGCTGTATTGGCATCCTGCCTTTCCCTGGCAAATGAGWAGGTTTACTTAGAATAGGAGCTATAGTTTTTGCATTTTGTCTTCTAAGCCATACAAATAAAAATTAATTGCTTTCAGACATATGTAAAGCAGGGACAGTCTGGTAATTTAAAGCTTTACTTGTCCTGACAGTCRTCTCTTCTGTACTGTTAAGTACATGATCCTTTTGATGAACTGTGTTTGTCATAGACATTTTTAAACCGATAAAATTAAAGAACCCCTAATGCTGCAGAAGCATATGGTGTTCTGTATCTATAACATGACATTCTGGATAGTTAGCTAACTTTGCACAGCAAATGCTTATGTTTTTAAGTGTAAATTTTGTTTCCAAACTCACTTTAAATATAAGGATGTGTGAGCTGGTTTCCAGTAACCATTTGCTCTAGATGTAAATCAGTTTTGTGTTTTCGAYCTGTCAAAAATTGAGGGTCCTTTGGAATGCCAAATGCATTCCATACTCTGATAAAATCAGATCAGAGCCTGTCCTATATAAATTCTCTTTGCCTGCACCCTGACCAAGTGACCAAAGGAAGCTGAAGACCTTTGTCTATGAAGTTCTGTTTATATGGCAGGTGACTGATGGTAGTGGTTCACTTTTTCGAGACTGCTGTCTTGGCTTTTTGATGCTGGTTGGTATTACAAGGYTTGATTCCCACATATCCTGGTCTTTAATTTTTAGTGATATGTCTGGATATTCTCACTGATTGTTGAGGTCTAGAAGGTGAGCTCAGAATGAAGGGAGGTTGTCAAGGAGAAGTATCCATAGAGTGAGAGCCRTTCCTATTTAAGTGCTAGACTCTTCTGTCATATTTAATAGGAAATCTTCATATGAGAAGATGCTGAATATGTGTTTTCATCTGAYAGTAAAATCATATGAAATTTTGGGAAAGTTATCTTCACTCTGGTATTAAGACTGGCTGAGTATCAGTCCATGAGAAAAGAAATGTAACGTGACTTTTCAGCCAATGGATAGGCTGTTAAAATCGTATTGCAAGGCAATACGTACATTAATATGCATACAATTGTATATAGTGATAGTGTTTAAAAAAGAAATGCAATCATTAATATATATTCCTTAGAATGGTAATTTTAGCATTGAAGAAGGCAGGGGTGTTTATGTAGATATAAATGTGTGGGTGTATGTGTATATATAAATATGTACACTCTTGTTCTGGAARGAGGTGTTCTGTGTCACAGAAGGTACCAATTGTGGGTCGTGTTTAACAAAGTTGGGGTGCTAAGGGTGAGATTTAGTTGAACTTAAAGTGAAATTTGTTTTCTTTAAATACTGTTTAAATTAAAATCTGAACCACAGCTGATAAAGTGGGGCAAGAAGAAAATCCACCATCTGGAATGCTTTCTAGTGGATTTACTCATTTGGAAAAGCTATCTTTTGTGTTGTTCTTTTAACAAGACTACATTAAGCTAAAATGAGTGGAGAGGGCAAGAAGRGAAAAGAATTCCCCATTATATTTCTCATTTGATTCATAATTTATTGTCTGTATAGTTTCAGCTGCTAGCACCACAGAAGAAATCAAACATTTAAAAGAGTTATTTGGTGTCTCACTGATGTATGAATAAATCCTTTTTAGCCTTAAACTTGAAATTCTTAAAGGCAGTTAAAATTTTGTTGGAGTTGTAATGTTCTTTATGGAATCACCACTGCTTCTTCAAAGCAATGCTTTGACTTCATTTTTAGGGTATTAAATACTGTTCTACCAATAAAAGTGGGTTGCAGATGTCATCTTCTTAAGCTTCCAGGTAAAGAGAAATATTCAGGTAAACAGTAAACTGAAAGAGAAAACAGTAAATACTAAGATAAACATTAAAATGTTATCTGCATTTTTGTTTTGCTTTTCCAGAGTTTGCAATTTTGATCAAGTCTAATTTGGTTTGTCTTGTTACTAGAAGTAGTTAATTGTACAGACCTGTTYCTTGAAGAACGTGCAAAGAATTCCAGCCATTGCTTTCCTAAAACTGGACTTGGTTTGTTTAATATGTCATAGTGTAACTATTACCAGAGCATTTTGCCAAATTCAGTGAGCTATGTATTGCATACCATGACTTAGCAGGTATTGCTTTATTTCAAAATACCTGTGTGTGAAATGTTACCCTAGTTGTGGTCTGCACTAAACGTTGAACACAGATTGGTGGTTCTTYCCTGTGGTCTATGACAGTAATAGGTGTCTGTTCTTACTCCTAGAACAACAACAACCTCGATGCCTGTTGTCGAGCCCTTGCACAGGAGAGCAACAAGTATTTGTATATGGAGTACCACAGCCCCGATGACACCAGAATGAATAGAAATAGCCTTTTGCACATTAATCTGGGTATTCATCCTCATACCAGCTATCATGCAGGGGATGGAGCTCAACTTAATGGTGGTCGTACACTGGTACACAGCTCAAGCGATGGACACATTGACCCGCAGCGCACGGCAGGTAAACAGCTGATTTGCTTAGTTCAAGAACCACATTCTGCTCCYGCTGTTGTGGCAGCTTCTCCTAGTTACAATCCATTTTTCATGAATGACCAGAATAGAAATGCAGCTACTCCTCCTCCACAGCCACCTCCACAGCCATCTTCCATACAACCAGGAATGAACACGTCTGCTATGCAAGGCCCTCCTCCCACGTATATGCACATACCTCGGTACAGTACAAATCCCATTACTGTTACAGTATCACAAAACCTCCCCTCTGGACAGAGCGTACCCAGAGCTCTACAAATTCTTCCACAGATTCCAAGCAATCTTTATGGGACTCCTGGCTCTATTTATATTAGACAAACATCTCAAAGTTCTTCAGGACGACAGACTCCTCAGAATACGCAGTGGCATTCATCGCCACAGGGCCCAGTTCCACATTATACTCCTCGTCCTCTACCTGTCTATCCACATCAACAGAACTACCAACCTTCTCAGTATTCTCCAAAACAAGCCCAGATCCCTCAGTCGGCTTTTCGATCACCACCGGCATCGCAGTGTCCCTCTCCCTWTGGCTCTCCTCAACACCAAGTTCAGCCTCCTCAGTTGAGTCATCAGAGTTCACATGTTTTCATGCCTCCTAGCCCTTCTACTGTCCCACCCCATGCGTATCAGCAGGCATCCCAGACTTTTCAAAAGCAAGGTGGTCACTCTGTGTCRTACCTTCCTCCTTTTGCTGGACCTAATTTATCCAAAGGTTCCATGAATAAAATAGAAATTACAGTTGAGCCACCGCAAAGACCTGGGACTGCACTGAACAGAAGCCCTTCACCAATCAGTAATCAACCATCTCAACGAAACCAGCACCCGCTGTATGCACCCACTACTCCTCCTTCAAGCTCTCCATCCAGAGGTATGTCTGGACAACCCAAACCTCCATTTAGTGTTAATCCAGTATATATTACCTACACTCAACCAACTGGACCTGCAGGTGCACCAACACAGTCTCCTCGGGTAATGGTATCTCAGCCAAACCCAACCATTTTTAAAATCACAGTAGGTCGAGCACCGACTGAGAATCTTTTAAATTTAGTGGACCAAGAAGAGCGTTCTGCAGCACCAGAACCTATTCAGCCTATTTCTGTAATCCCAGGATCTGGAGGAGAAAAAGGAAGCCATAAGTATCAGAGAAGTTCTAGTTCTGGATCAGACGACTATGCTTACACTCAAGGTAAATATTTCACCTTGCAAATTGTGGTGTAAAATGCATTTTCAGCTTGATTTTGCTACTTAGTAAGTGAGAATTTGTGAATCTGTACAGAGAAAAATAGAAACTCTGTCAAAAATCATATGAGAGAGTTTTTTCTGATTTTTTTTTATTTTTTAAACACTGCCAAATTTCAGTCTAATTACATAAAGAATTGCTAAGGGTCTTAAAGTTGCTGTGCTTTTGATGTTATGGAGCTTTCTTAAAACACAACAGTTAATATCAAGTAGTTTGTTCATATGCTGTGTGTCAGTTTTGTAAATTCTGTATTGAAGAACGGGGTCATAAATTTACGTGTGGATTTTTACCATTTTTTTTGTATTTGTTCTGTGTTCAAGTGTTTTAGAACACCTGAAGCMCTGGCTTCTGCATTTGGATTAGATTGAAGAATATTAAGTGAAAGAGGGGAGAAAAATAAGAATGCAGTTAAAAAATATTTATATTTGTCAATATAAATATTTTTTAAAGGTAATAAAATAATTTTTTTGAAGAACTTAAATCAAAAATTCACTTCTTCCACTTTGAATTTTCAAAGAGGAGGAGGAGATTGGTAAGCAAACTTTAAAGTCTGTGTTCTGTTTATAATTTTAATTTTTTTTTTTTTTAACATAATTTTAATGGCATACATAAATGAAGAATGCAGTAATTCAGTAAAGAAAAATGTGAAATTAACCTTTAACTAATTTTCTTGGAGTCATCTTTATAGATTTGAAACATTTAAAATTGAGCAAGTGAATCTGTCTTCAAGCAGTCATTTGGATAATGACAGAATGATAACCTGCAACAGATATTTTCTGGATTTGTGCTTGGAAAAAAGACTATTCCTCTGTTGTTCCTTCTAGCTTTTTTTTTTTTTTTTTTACTTCAGAGAGCTGAAGTGAGAGCTTATAATGCTACCCTGTAGTTCTTAATTTCTTATTTCACTTACTGCTTTTTGAGTTTTTCTAACTCATCAACAAAGCTGTTTTGTACCTGGTAGACCCAACTAGAAATTCTGTAGACTCAATTCTTTAGTAAAAATAAATGCCAGTAGGTCTGTAACTCTGAGGCCTTGTGCTTTGTTTGGTAGTGTTACTAAGACAGCTTCAGTAAAGATTGTCATTTGTATGAGAAAAATACAAGTCGATTCACATAGCAGTGAAAAAYATATTCTGAAACGTAAAACCTGGTTTTACCTTTGTAGCTTCCACTAGATTTGTGTATCTGAAAAGCAAACCAAATAAAACTAATTAGTATATGCTTTGTGGGGTGTTTGCRTTTGTGGCAATACCTACCTTTTTATTGCTGCACTTTGAACTCTTGATAGAAATAAATTGTGGAAGAATAAACATTTTATTCTTTACTACCGCAAAGGAGTCCTAGAAAAKAGTATATTTAACAGCTTAATTTAGGGAACAAGTTTATTTAATTTTCTCTTGAATGAGAACCATTGTAAAAAATGTTACCAGAAATTCATTCTGGTGTCTGTACTTTGCTTCTTTGTAATATGAGTCATGTTTGATAAGTTGTACCAGAGTATAATGTGAAGCTGTGAAATGTAGTCACACCATGTTAAGTTGGAGGAATCACACAAAGACGAGGTTTGGTAACAATAGTGGAAAATCATTCAGTCTGGTGTCTGTACACTTTTAATTCTGCTTGCATGCCTTACGCTGCTTGAAAAAGTAGAGCACAGTTCTGTTCAATAATACTGGTGCCTGATGTTATTTTTCACTAGGCTTTTTGGTGTTTATTCTTTGGCCATGAGTTGGTGAATCCATACAAAATGCAAATTACAGYGCTACATTTTTGTGCAGAATGCTGGTGTCTGCTTCTGACAGGTTGGGGTGTTTCTGTGCTTTTGCAGTAAGTTGTTAGGTTGTTGCTTATTTTTCTAACTCTGTTTAGCTCACATGTGAATATTCTTGGATATTGTGTGCTTTTTCTTTGCTTTTGTTGGATGGGGTGAGGAAAAGGGCAAGTGCTGATTTGGGCTTTTCATGAGTAGCATTTTGCAGGTTCTACAGCATCCTTGTTTTAAACAGATTGCTGGAACATTGTTCTATGAGCAGCATGTTTGTCTGAATAACCAAATCAAATGTCTTATTTTTCTCTGTCCTAGCAGACTTCAGGCAGATAAAACCAGTCTGATCAGAAAGATTAAGCATTACACTGACTTGGCCAGTTTTGSATCATGTTGAAATACTGAGAAATGCTCTTCTTTAGGAAACTGAATATTATCTTCTAGTTAGTCAAAATACCTTTCCCTAATTCTCGGGGAGTCCAACATCAGCTTGTGACTAAGAGTCTTAAATTTCAGTAATATGATGAAAATGAGGGAATGGCTAACAGCAGAGAGGCACAAAGAGGTTGGAGAAATTGATCGTCATAGAATTAAGAGTCTTATGCACCTGAGCTGATTCTACTTTTTATTTTCTGGATTCTCYAGTTTATTTTGTTGGAGTTCTGTAGTTTTACCTTTGAACACTAGAGCTTACATTATTGAGGATTACAATATTCCCTGAAAAGCTAAGACTTCCTAAAAGTTATACTACAATTTGTAATATCAATGAAAAAACCCCAGTTTCGGACTGACATGGCTAATGTCTCAAGGCTGGTGTGTCAGCTGCCATTGAGCTGCAGAGCAGGTATGAAGTTTGTGTTACCTTCTGAGCTTACCTCTGGTATTTTTTTWTTTTTTGTGAGTAGAGWATTWGTGTAACTAGGTTGCTGTTTCATCCTGAGAAGCTGTCTCCTTGTACGGGTGCCTTTGTAATTTTGAGACGAGAAAGACCAAATGCAAAAAAAGAAGCTTTGACCAAAATGGTAATAACAACTTCAAGTTACTGTCTAAAACGTGTTTTTATTCTGGAAGAACTTTGTTCTAAATTGTAGTTCATTTGGCATGAAAGCATCTTCACACTGATACTCGGCTGCATGTCTACAATCACTTTTTTTTTCCAGAAAGGTCACTCATGAATCTTACCCATAAGTTAAGAACTCAGTGTTCCAGGTTTTTATGTGTTAATAACTATTTTTTCTGTGTAAAACATTAGCCTTGCTGTTACATCAGCGAGCAAGGATGGAGAGATTAGCAAAGGAACTGAAGCTGGAGAAAGAAGAACTCGAACGCCTGAAAACTGAAGTCAATGGTATGGAGCATGATCTGATGCAGAGGCGGCTTCGAAGAGTCAGCTGTACAACTGCAATTCCAACAGTAAGCAATTTGTTAGTATTTTAATTCAACATACACATTTATTTTTTGTGTTTTAATGAAACTAAAGTACTGTACAAAAATACTTTAGACTATGAAATCTTCAGTCTATGGAGATTTTTTTTAAGTATTTGACTTGTCATAAGCTAATTCTTATAATTTATGAAACTGATGGGTGTCCAGTTTTCTTAGTGTTCCCAACAAAACTTCATAATGTTGTATTCATGTGCTTTTGTGGACCGCAGAATTGAATATAGTTGCTTTCCTAACAACCAATGAAAGTATCCCCRAGTCTGTTCAATAAGCCTGAGCCATACAGAGCTTGGTGTTCATGCAGGAAGGTTTAACTTTTGTTTTTAAAAAGGTATTTTATTGTTTGAGTAGTTGCATTTCATAGACAGTATTTCTCATTTGGTATGTGCCAAATAACTTTTCAGCGGCAGTGTTGCCTGAAATAGTTGGAACTCTCGTATTTTCCTKGTTGATTCTTTTTATCTGTGTGACTTCCACCTGCAAGTGACTCTAGCCCAAGCATGTGTGTGGCTCTGATAAGGGAATTCATCTGGCTGAAAAATAGCTTCCACTGTGTGCAGTTGTTAAGCAGATCAGCTCAGACTTACTGGCTGTGTTGACACAAACAATGCATACAGGTGTAGGCTGGAAGGCACAGAGGGGCTGTTGGCTGCTTAGCTGCTATGGCTGCTGTGTGTCTCACCTGTCTCAGTGCAGCATTTGGCAAGGATGAAACTGGGAGAAGTACAAGGCACTGAGTGTGCCAGGATGAGGTTAGTAAAGCCAGAGACTGACTKGAGTTGAATCTGGCGCAGGATTTCAAAGACCAACAGAAAGGCTTCTGGTACTACATAGGTGACAGCCAGAAGACACGTGAAAATGTGGGCTCCACAAGATGGGGSACCTGGTTATGTGGACATGGAAAARRAWTCAGATACTGAATGAACTACTTGGYTCAGTCTTTACAGTCCTTCAGGAATCCCAGGTCCCAGAGACCCTGGGAAAAGTGTGAAGCAAGGAAAGTATACCCTTAGTGGAAGAGATTCAGGTCAGGGAATGCTTAAGTAAAGCAGACATACACGAGGTCATAATCCTGGATGAGATGCACCTATGAGTGCTGAGGGARCTGGCAGATGTCATTGCAAGGCCACTCAGATAATCTTTGGTTGATTAATGGTSTTTGGGAAAGTGCCCAAAGACTAGAGGAGAGCAACTATCACTGCTGTCTTCAAGAAGGGGAGGACTCAGGGACCTGCAGGCTGRTCAGCCTCACSTTGATCYTTGGGAAAGTGATTGAGCAGCTAMTGCTGCAGACYATTTCCAGGCACATGAAGGACAAGAGAGTGGTCAGTAGTAGTCACATGGATTCACCAAGGGAAAGTCAAGCTTGACTAATTTGATAAACTTCTAGGATGCAAAGTCTGTCTTGGTAACCTCGATGGACAGTGGTTACTGTCTGTCTAGAATTCAGTAAGGATTTCAGCATTGTCTGCTGTAAGATCATCATAGAGAAGCTGATGAAGTATGGGCTGTWTGKGCATTGAGGTTCATTGAAAATTAARTGAATACAGGCCAAGAGTGTGCCARTGAGTGGCAGAAAGTCTGTTTGGAGTCTTGGCAGAAGAGTTGGACCAGATGRCCTCCAGAGGTTCCTTGCAACCTCAAGCATTCTATGATTTTGTGACTGTGATGCTGGAATGTATCCTGGGATGAGTTAGTGGGTGATACTTGCTAGCATTGAGAAAGCTTTGCATTCCAGTAACCTAGGGTTTCTTAAWTATATGCAAATGTATGCACTTAAATAACTGATTATTCTGTTAAGAATAATTAGTCTTTCATCACTGAACAATTTAAATATACTGGGCTAGAAAGTTTGGCTTTGTGGAGCTCCTTGGGTTGATGGAAATGAATAAACTTTTGACCTCAGTTATAATCAAGTAACAGTTAATGTGAGCTGCAGCTTGGATTCTATTTTCTGATCATCTTGATGCAAACTCAGGTAGCAAGTCATCCATTTATACAGAATTTAAAAGYGTGTGTGGTTTTATAAACTTGAGCTCAGCTATGTCATCTTACTAATGAATTTTAGTATTAAGTAACTTGTATATTTGTTTTCCTCCTCACATGCCAATACATGAATGTATTTTGAAGGCGAATGAGTAGAGGTAGTGGGCCAGAAAGTTTGGCTTTTTTCAGTGCCATATATATACTCAGTGTTTAGTAAAGCTGTTAACAAAGCTATAGCAGTGTTATTTCTATTTCAAATATGAAGCTGACTTTTCCACAATTACTATTTTGGGTTGTTTMTTTCTAGCCTGAAGAAATGACCAGATTGAGAAGCCTCAACAGACAACTCCAGATAAATGTTGACTGTACACTGAAAGAAGTTGATCTCCTTCAATCTAGAGGTAGTGAATTGATACTTTTTATAAAACATAATTTGGATATGATCACGAATGTTAATCTGCTGGAGGGTYGGAAGGCTCTGCAGAGAGATCAGGTTGGATTGATGGGACAAGGTCACTTGTATGAGGTTCAGCGAGGCCAAGAGCTGAGACCTGCACTTGAGTCATAACAACCCCAGGCACAGCTACTGGCTGGGRGAAGAATGGCTGGAAAGGTCCCTGCAGGAAAAGGACCTGGGGATGCTGGTGACAGCATCCTTTGCGAAGATCCTTTACTTAAAATGTTAACTCTTTGCTAAAAAAAGGCTGTGGCCAAGTAATATGGAGCTGGACTATGGATTCTAACCACGAGGTTGGCAAACAGAAATCTACTTGGGTCTTTAAAAATTTTTTTTGCAACAGAAACATGTCTTAAATAGAATCAAATAGATTAGGATATACACAATCTGACTTTTTTATCAAGGATGTATCCTGTAGGAAGACTTACATTTCGCATGTTTTCAAAGCAATACAAAATGTTGAGCTGGAGTTGATTTTTCAATATGGGATTACCCTGCTAAAAGTTACTATGATTGACAGAAAACTAAAAATACATGACAAAACTTGTGAAAAATCTAAGATACAATGTCATAATAAGAAGTGTAAAATAAGAAGCCTCTAGATGTTCATATCACTGGCACAGGCATTTRAATAGCTTTCAAGTTACACTTTCTTTTCTTTTCTGACAGGTAACTTTGATCCGAAAGCCACATGTAACTTCTATGATAACATAGAGCCGGGTCCTGTTGTGCCACCAAAGCCATATAAAAAAGGTAGGTCAACAAACAGGCATCATGATTTAATCTGTATTGACTGAGTTTTTTTCTTTTTTAAAATATCCCTGTGGTGACGGGAAGCAACTCTACTTATTTAAGTTTTCTCTCTGTATTGTTCAAACCAGAATATTTTTATATAAGTGCAGTAATCCTCACTACAACTTGTTTTCCTCAGGCAGATAGTTGCAAATGAATGTCTGTCAATACCTTGATTCAAAATCATTATTCCCTATTAGAAGAAAAGCTGGACTAGCTAATGTAAGATCCTATGTTCTGATATGGAAAAAACAGCGGTCTTTTCCCTGAAAATGTTACATGCAGTAAGATTTATAGTAGTGTGTCTCCTCTTGCTGTATCTAGCATGTATTTCACTTGTTACTGGAAAAGAAGTAGCTCTTCTGAGCCAGTAATCATGCWGTCTCCCTGACACTCCAAAGTTTGTAAATAAGTTCTACTTGCTTACAAGCATTCCACTGAGTCTTCTGTGGGTGAATTTGGAATTCATCTTATGAAATTTTCCCCCTCTTTGAAGTAAGTATTTTACCCCACAGCATAATAAAATTATTACTATTATTACTATGTGGAAATTGAAAAGAAAGAGAAGGCCCAGAACTGCTGCTTGTGGCTTAAAGAAAAGATAATACTGGGATGAGTTCCCTGCATTTAGGTGGTAGTGTCCACAAAAGCAGTAGCATCAGGTGAGAATGCAGCTGCCTGGAGTTACATTAAATTGATCATATTGTTAAGGAACTGTTGCTTTGTGATGTTTGAAGACATTCTCTTAATTACACTACCAWATTTTTGATTTATTATTTCAAAGCAAAACAATGTGCAAAAGTCACATGAAAGAAGTTTTTTTATTTGGTAGTTAGAAAGGTAGTGCCTTGTAAGCATTTGAACAACCAGCTTCCAGATTTTGTCTGCCAGCTTATTAGAGAGAATTTCTGGGTCTGGTTTACCAGAGCTTGGATTTTTACATGGACACATCAAAATTTTTCTTAGATAATAAATATTCCTTAATATTCAGCTGTTGAAAGCGTGGGTAGGCAGACAGTGTGGGCAGACAGTGGTGTGCTCTGTGCTGCCATCTGGCCAGTCAATGGAACGCAGTCAAGTGCCCACACTGCACAGCTCAGGAGGAATTTGTTGAGGTCAAGCACTGCTAATATGACTGTGCAACTTCTGGAGAGTTTACATCTAAGCAAAGAGGCTACTTTTATTTCCTTTGTTTGTCTCTGAAGACTCAAGTACTATTTGCACTAAGGTTCTCATCAGCAGTCTGCTGCATTTCTTAGYAGGTGGGGCAGCAACTGCAAATTACTTTGTGTGCATTTACAAATTGCAGGCCTTTGTTAGAYATGAGTTCACAGATGTTTGTTTAGCAGATAGTATCTCAGCCTTACCTTCTACATAATGTCATTAATGTCAGCAAATATTAATATTTTGTAGCATGTTGGTTTCCACATCCTGGGGGTATTCCTCACTTTTAGTAGATAACTTGAGGTCTTTTGGTGGTGTCAGGAGACATGGAAAAYAGTGTTTCTGTGGGTCAAGACCTAATGTGTGATTTGCATACATACTGATTTTATGAATGTAAACAGACTTAAATGCTGCTTCACATACATATGCCCCAGCTTCTGAGGCATGAGAAAGAATTGTCTTGTTTTGAAATAGGCCTGTCATTTCTATATTGTATTCTTTTTCAGCCTGAATAAATGATAGAAAGATATATAGAAAATGTCTTCTGTCAGATTGTTTGAAGGAACTAAGTTAGTAGTTTTTCCCCTTCAGGTACTGTAGGGTTATTGTAGTTTAAAATTTGGTAATAGACTGCTGTGTGTGAGCCTGTGAGGTCTTTCCATAACAGGATATGGAAAGTTATTAAACCTTTAACAGTATCCGTGGCTTAACAGTGTTGAGTGCTTTTCTTGGTTTTAAGGTGTTAAGTGACTATAGAAGTGAAATACTTTAAATATTAAGATTTCACAAACTGGATTAGAAGTGCTTTAGGACAAGTTTTCCATGTTCATTTTAAGATAGACTGTTTAATTAGGTGACCAGTGTGATCTTGACTTATCCTTCTCTTCTGAAATAAGATGTTTTCTTTTCCTTTAGAGCATCAAAACAGCTCCAAACAGACTCCACGGACTCAGCCAAGAGATGAAGACTTTGAAGGGGCCCCATGGAATTGTGGTAGCTGCACCTTTCTAAATCACCCAGCACTGAATCGCTGTGAACAGTGTGAAATGCCACGATACACCTGAAATGCAGGAAGGGGCTGCATTGGGTTGTACACAGGCTCTCAAGCCAACAGCTGTAAGAGAAGGAAACATGGGGAACCTTTCAGTCCATCTGCCCGGCCTTTGCCAGTCAACAATCTTCATATTGCAAGGGGTGGGAGTAATGTGTTAGGATGTTTCTGCTTCTGCTGCACTAGAAGATAAATTAAGGGTTAAATTCCTTCCTATTGCAGTGAGCAAAGCAGAAAATGACAATGTAAAAGGATTAATTTTGAGAAGAATGTATGCAGGAAAGCAAATAACTACTGGTGTTTATTCCTGTGGTTATAGTTACTGCTTAGTGGCTCTTAAAAAAACCAACCCAAAACTACTGTTTTTTTTTAAGAAAATTATAGGACTCTTAGTAATGGTGTGAAGTGTTTCACTTAACCAGAAAAACTSAAGAGCCAGAGCTGACTTAACCTGGCCACAGCTAGCTGGAAAACAAAGGCTCCCTGTGCTTCTAGATTGTAAGCTACTGAAAAAGAAGACAGGTAAAAGCAATGATACATTTTGCAATGTATAAAAAAAAACAAGGAGAAGGGTATTTGTAATTGCTGCTTTTTTTCAGGGTAACTTATGTCTACAAAAAATTGCTGTTTGAAATAGTAACCTGAGGTGACTAAATGAGGAACCGTGTGAGTGTTACAGAGAGTGTAATCAGAGGTAATTTTTTACAATCCTGTTTGCTTGTACAGTGCTCACCTGGCTGTGTCAACACTGGTAATAAACCGAGAATGAATTCTACCACGTTGCAGATGAAAATCCTGCTGCATGCTTTCATTGGGCCGTCGTGTTTCCAAAGCTCAAAGGATGCTTTTCTGTACAACCTTCTGAGCCTGTGCTGGGCAGCAGCACACGGGCATATGCCAAACACAGGCTACTCCAAATTCTGTTTGGGAGACTTGGGCTCAGCTGTGGTTGTGTTTGAGAAGGGTTTGTACCCAGTTCCTTAGGCCTTTTCAGCTTCCAATTTGTGAAGAATTCATGATGTTTACAGCACAGAAGGTACTTTGTGCCCCAGATCAAAGTTAGCTGAAAAAATAATTAATCAGCTCTTCAGTAAAGGTTTATTTGCACATTATTAATAAACCAGCCTGTACAAAATAGCAGATGCCAGATCCTGAAAAATTACACACTGCATTCTTTCTATTTTGGTCAGGAAATATTTGTCATAGGTTAAAGAACGCAAGACTTGCAATTGAAAATCCTACTGGTACTTTTCTGCCTATGATACACTGTATCCTAAAGGTGATGTTCAATCTGAATGCTTCAGGCTGCTGGAATAAAGCACTCGATACTTGTGAGATCAAACTTGGGTTTGGGCAGCTGAATGATTCTGTGACACAACTGTGTGACTGAGTAGGGTGTTCCTGTGTACTGGTCAGAAACTGGTACAGTGCATTTGAGTTTCTATGGTATAACTTCATCACAATTCAGAAATGCAACCGAGCACTTCAGCTGAGTTATGGTAATTGACTTGGTAAAGCAAAATTTGCTAGTTAAATTCACCATGAGAGTTTTAAACTRCTTCATTTGAAGCTTTTCTTAGCTTATGGCAGCCACATCCATATTGTCAATTACCACAGTTCACTTGATGTGTGGTAACATGCTAAGCTGTAGTAGAACAATCATATGTCTGAATCCTTATTTAAAATAAAGAAGCATTTGCAAGGGGTGGGTGGAGAAAAATTCATCTTGACTATTGCTCAATCTGGTGTCTTCTCTCCCTGCAGTTTATAAAGACAACAGTCAGAACCAAACTGTTGATCTTAGATGAGGAACCAATATTTTATCTGGCATTTTTCAATATGTTCTTGCACTAACTAAATCTTTAGGATAATTTAAAATAAGCTACRAGATCTGCAGCAATCAGTGAGCACCACTCATGAGCAAAACAAAAGTCAAAGGCATCTGAGAGAGTTTTCCTCCTTTCCTAATGATTTACACTGCTCTGGGGGGAGCTCATCACATGTGGAAATGGGTAAAAAAGTTACTGTCAGTTACTGTCAACTGAAATTAGAAGGCAGATATTAATTTTGTGTGTGTCAGTGCAMAGTTTGCCAAAACTGAGAACTAGAAAACAGAGGAGCAGAAGCATTGCTGTTATCAGCTGTATAATGAATGACTCCAAACAATACCAGTAACTTCATGACTTTTCTATCCTGATGCCTTTGCCATTGTATTATTTCAATTTTCTGTTCATTTGGACTTCTGGTGAAGTTCTAGAAGCATTTGTTTTTGCTGGAATTACAAAAAGATAGCAACTGAAGTGATGACAAATGAGAGTAGGGGTGTCATGCAAAAATGCAGTTTTGCCATTTTCAGACAGAATAGATGCTGCTTTTGAAGGAGGGGGTGGAAATATGCATTCAGTCCAAAAAAGCCCTGAACTGCAATAACCTTACATGGAGACCTGCAAATCTTAATCTGAGCTTCACCAGAGGAAGAGAAGGAAGGCTGCCACTGCAGCAAGTTTTGTGATAGGGAGTGAGCGCCGTAAATTGAAAAATAAGTCCTTTGCACCAATGATTTTACTTGGTTTTTTTTTTTTTCAATTGCTCTCATTTGTTGCTTGTACAAACAAACAATACCACCACACCCTTTTGTTGTATTGTTTTACTTGTAAATGCCCATACTCAAACATAAATAGGAAAGACTTGACATGGTGCTTGAATATTTCTAGTTTGTTAGAATGTAATTGTATTTTGAATATTGGAACATCCATTTTATTTCTGAAAGCAGGTGATGCCATTCAAACCCCAACTGAATTGTAGATGATACCAAAAAGATTGGTTTATGGAATATTTATTGAATGCACATAAAACCCTAATGTCAGCTGGCATATAAAATGCACTGTATTGTATAAAACGTGTGTGTGTGTGTGAGAATGGTGGATGCTGATGCTGTTGTGTTAATGCACTACGTGTGTTTTCTTTTTTTCCTTAATGACTGAGCTTTCCCTCAACCATGCTACTAGATTGGTAGAGTTTGTAACTGACTTGGACATTCAGTTATTCAAAATGATCTCACTGTTCATTGAAATTTTATAAAGCTTATTTTATATTTACTGTGCTATTAAGATGAATTCCCTTTAATTATAGGATACTACTGTAGTTCTTTAAAAGTTTTATTTAGAGTGGGGCTTGTGGAAAATTATTCAGAACATAGTAAACCAAACGAAATCCTGAACTTTGGATCTACTTTTAATTTGATGTAATTATTACTCTTGTTTGGGTGAAGAGGAAAGGGGTGGGAAGTCAAGCAAAAGGAAGTACTTTGTAAAATGTAGTCTTAGATCAGATTGAATTGTGTATCTGTGTGTCTGTGGTATGTGTGTGTTTCCCTTGAAAAACGGGAGGTGTGGTGAAAAGATGTAATAATTCTTAAAAGAGCTGGTCTCAGTACTTTCTGATTATGATATACTACTGAATCACATTTTTTTTTAAAAACCCAACTTTTCTCTCAGTTTCTTTATCTCTCCCAGCTATACATCTCTCACTTCAATTTCTAAATATTTTTGCATTTAATATTGATTGTAAAATCCCTTGAAACGGAAATAGAAATACTTGAGTTGAAATGGGGACAAAATAAAACCAATAAAGAATGTTTTTTAAAAGAATGTGAGAATATTAAATATRTTGAAAACAAGCTTGTCATCAGGATGATAGTTCTTTTTTAAAAACCCAGTGTGTACCCTAGAATGTGAACATGACTATCCTGATGAGAAGTGGATGGTTGGACATAAACAATTCAACAGCCAATTTGGTACCACAGAATTGATGTGCTCTGTACTGCAGTGACTCCAAATCCCACAAGGAAGAAAGACATGCACAGATATCACATCTCACAGTCACTACTGTCTCTATGTGCAGCTGCATTTGTTTTCGTTTCAAAATGTCAATCTTATGAACCCACACATGACTGAATTTTTGCCACATTTCTTCAGTTYGGGCTTTCATTGCTGTTTATGTCCATAAATGCAAATAGTTTTCTTGGAATAATCAGAAAACAATGGAGTTAATGCAATATTATAATCCTGGGTTTCCAGTACCGTTGAAACCAATTTGAAAAAACTGTGTTCTTGAAATTTATTTATGGTGGCACCAGTGTATCTAATCCATACTTCCTGCTGTGTGAAACCCTGTTAAATTTTTTCATTAAAAAAAAAGAAGACACGATCTTGTTTAATCCTGTATATATGGTGTCTACATTCTAGATTTGTGTATGCTGTGAATGAACTTATTACTAAGAGATGAAATTGTATAAAAGCATTCAGAGGCTATGCATGCATGGTACCTCCAGAAAGTGCATACTCCAAGTTGCAGATTCCTGCARAAATAAATTAATAAAACTAAGCAAACATCACATCCTGCATTTGTTCTTGTATGTGGCAGAGGAAGCATTTTAAAAGCCTTTTTAGGCCTCCATAGCTTGATTGTTTCAGCTCTCCCACTTGAACCTGTAGCTATTATAAGTTTGTTTCAGGGKTTTTGGGGTTTTCGTTCTCGTGATCATTAGGCATTTGCTGAATATTGAACTGGGCTCCAAATCCCATTCCCATGGATGTGGATAAGCAGGAATCCCATTTAATGATGGATATTCTGTGCAGCTTTGATGTGGAAACAGGACATAGTATGTTCAGAGTGTGAGGCTGACCTTAGCACTTCTGCCTTCCTTTTGATGGAAGGTTGTTACTGAAGTAGCCTGGATGATGGGCATTCCTTCTGAGTGTCTGCATCACAGAAATCCCTCTCCTGCTTTCGTCTCTTGGGAAGGCTCTGGGAGAGGATGAAGAGCTGGAAAGGCACAAATCCATGTGCAGCCACTTTTTCAGGCTGTGTTCTCCATCACCTCAATGGCATCAGCTCCTCACAACTGAAACCTCCAGAGCTGTGCCCTGGCTGCTTCCTATTCACACACAGCTCCTTCTCATCTGACAAACCTGCTGCAGCTTACTCAGTACACACAGGTAAGATTTTMATTTTGCATTCCTTTTGCTAAGTTGAATTCATCACAATTTCAGGAGATGTTTGTATTTTAATTAACCATTTGATTTTTTTCACTTCAGAAATCATTGCAGTTGAAACTGAGTTAAAAGCAAAAAACATACAAAAGTTAAGGTGCCTGTAAARTATACTGTGCTAATGGAGACCATACAGAGCCAGAAGACACCAGTCTAACAACTGAGTGGTCACCATTTTTTTTTTGTTGTTGTTTCCCTGAGGTGAAGAGGAGGAGGATCTGCCTGAACTGCATAAAACTGGTTAATCTATTCCTCAGAATTACTTGGTTTTGGCAGCAATGAATCATGTCTCAAAGCCTGAGAGATGGTTTGTCC